CCGGGGGTATGGACCTCCCAACACACGATGGCTTGATTGCCCATTTTTCAGAACACTATCGTAGGAGTACAGAAGTTGAGAGCAAAGTCTTTGTTGGGTGTTTTTCGTCGCTGGGGGCTATCCTGATATTCATCATCAACTGTCTAGTCGAGTCCTGAAGGCCATCGTAAGTGGTACAAAAGTTTGGCAGGGAATGTCTTTGTTGTGCAGACCCCCGCCTGGTGCTACGCAAAAAGAAGACCAGATGAAGTTCCCAAGACTATCAGCGAGTCCGGCTGATCTACACTTCTTCTCTCTCCATCGAAAAACACTTTAGCAAAGATTCTTTTGTCTTAAACTTCTGCTTGCCCTTACTGGTGTTTCTATAAAAATTACAATGTAACTAACGTGTACAAGGGGGGAGGGGGGATTCTGTACCCCGATCTTCTCCGGATAGGTCTCCAGAAATGAGTAAGGCTTTGATATTCCAAAGATCTTTAAACCAAGCCATAATCTTTTAAAAAATTCCTTACAATTTCTAAAGAAGTGCCCAGGTTTCTTGACAATCACTCAAATCTCACAAGGCGAACCCTCATAGTGGTTTGGAATCTACCACGTTTTTTTCCGAGAAGCTCAAACGAATTTCCTTCCTCAAAATTTGCCAACGATCACTCAAAAATGTCCATAATCTTTCAATTATCTTTAAGTACAATTACTGACTTCTCGATGCAAAATTTCATCAGAACTGAAGATTGTCTGATTGAGAAAAGTGCGTAGCTAACGACCGATGTTCTCCAAGCCAATCATTTTGACTGTGCTGTAATTGAGCTTGCCAAATTGTTGTTGATCCACTGAGTAATTTCGAAATTAGATTTCACCACTTCTCCAGAAGTGTGTAGTCTCTTCTCTTTTTGGCTGTGTTTTTCTTACAGTTTACGTAAACATGTTTTCGGTAGGGGGTCATTTCCAAGCGAGTGCCCTCGACAACAGCATTAACATTCAATTGCAAAATTATGTACTCATCTGCCGAAACAATAAATAATAATAATCTAAAAGGTTTTGCAAAACATAAACATGTTTTCGTAGCGTGGCTGCTATTTGATGCTATCTCGATTGGGTACCTGTCTCAACTGGATGACGTTGATTGGGTGAATTGCGCATCGTCGCAAACTATTCAAAATACTCCAAAAAACAGCCGCATAATTTTGGTTAATTATTTCCTCACTGAGTATGGAGAAAACCTTGACCGTGCAACGATAAAATGATCAACAAACAAATCGCTGAAATTACGACATTGTGTTTTGGGAACAGATGAGCAAAACAACGATGAACGATTAGAGAGGTGACACACTCCGCTTCCTTATCTCAGTTGTAATAAATAAATGCAAATTTTGGATTGTTCTTACTTCCAAAATGCGCAGCTGTGAAAAGTATCCTCCCCGGGTAAGGTCAGAAACAAACTGTCGAGCCTTTCGAGTTTGCTTTCAGATAGACTTAAAAATTTGTATGAGAAGTGATCCCTCCCCTTGGATAGGGGAAACACGTTTGGCTCATATTTGATCTAATTCCGCTGGGGCCTTCTGTCCTTGGTTGAATCCCGAGAATAGGAATATTCTTAAGAAATCTTAGGAATATTTTTGAAAGAGTTTTGGAAAATTCCGGTTTCTGAGCGATTCTGCCCTCGATTTTTGCGTTACATGCTCGAAGGAAAGTATTTGGAAACGCTTAAGGGTAGGAGGACTGTTGGAGATTTTAACAAAAATTTCTAGAAATTATTTAAGAACGCTACAGAGAATATTCTTGGAAGTTTTAAGAGGTCAATTTAAAACCCTTCCAAAATGTTTGAAGAATTCTGAGGGATTATTAAGAAATTTTGTGTAGATTCTTAAGTGGTCATTAAAATGTTCTAGAGAGAAGATGCTCGAGTCCTTTTAAGAGATACTTGAGAAATCCTTGGAGAACAATTAAATATCTTTGAGAGGTTCCTTTGGAAATTCCATGTGATAAAAGTGTGATAAGAAACAGAAAAATGCTTAAAGGGGTATTGGGAGACTCCTGCTGGGTTCCGTGTTTGATTCTTGGGAAATTCTGAGAAATTCCTCAGATTTACGAATAATCCTAGATATAAAGTCTTGGAAGATTTTTATGTGCAACGTACAGATTCCTTGAAAAGTTTTTGGAAAATACGTGGTTGGTTCTTCAGGCTCCCTTAGAAGATTCTTAAACGATTCTAGAAAATCCTATACAAATCTTGAGGGATGTGTAGGGTTGAATTCTGTTTTCTGGGAAGATTTCAAAGAGTACCTTTGGTAAATATTAATGACAGAGAATGAATGGAAGTGTTCAAAAGATGAAAGGGAGGAGGAGTGGCCAGTATTGAGGGAGAATTGTTATTGGAATTAACAGAAGAGAGAAGGTAGAGGATATTAAACGAAAATATGGGTAGTACACATACATGGGAGGAAGAGGGAGGTCGGTAATTGATTATATACTAGTAAACGAAAAAATACGCGAAGAAATAGAATAGTAAGGATTAGGGAATGCAATACCGGGATTTTTGCGGGATTAATCCCGCACATAAATGGAGCGGGATCCCGCGGGATTTGCGGGACTGAGGAATTTGTCGACCAAGTGGACGACTCTGTATACTTTGTTAATGAAACGCACAACGGAGAAGTTATTTTTTATATAATTGTTTAACTTTTTTTGTTAAAAATTTACTATGATTTTTGAGGCACTTTAGAAGTTCCCCTTTTTGTGCTTTACAGGTGAGGTTTTTTTGAGTTCTAAGTTAGAGAAGTTATTTTTTATATAATTGTTTAACTTTTTTTGTTAAAAATTTACTATGATTTTTGAGGCACTTTAGAAGTTCCCCTTTTTGTGCTTTACAAGTGAGGTTTTTTTGAGTTCTAAGCCGAAGGTACTTTTTTGTTAAATATTGTGATAATTAGCGACTTATTTTAATGCAGAAGTTAACCGCACAGAATTGCTTAATTGCCAATTTATTTAAAGTTTTGCGGGATCCCGCAAATACCGGGATCCGGATCGATCTGAAAGAATTTTGTTTTCGGGGCTCAAAAAAAGGCAGTGTATAACCTTCCTTTTTTACCAAAAATTGACTGCACCCAAATTTCTCGGGAAAACACTTTTTCTTATTAATTTTGGTGCGTAGAATCCAAAACAATTCGTACTTTTTCGATCAGACTTCTCAATCAAAAGTTATAAACTAGAAACCAATTTCGAAAGAAAATTCAAAGGGCTGTAACTTTTGAACTAGTAGCCCAATCCTGGAACTGTTTGAAATTATGGATTCTACAGGCCACATTCTATAAGAAAATTTTTTTCCGGGTCGATCTGAGACAATTTCTTTTTTCGGGGCTCAAAAAAAGACAGTGTATAACCTTCCTTTTTTACCAAAAATCGACTACACCAAAATTTCTCGGGAAAACACTTTTTCTTATTAATTTTGGTGCGTAGAATCCAAAACAATTCGTACTTTTTCGATCAGACTTCTCAATCAAAAGTTATAGACTA